CCCCCTCCCCCGTCCGTTCCGCCAGTCAGCGCTGGAGGATCGGAGCGGGGAGGGGGGAATCCAGCCCCTCCCCTGTCACGGCAGAGAGCCGTGACAGGATCGAGAGGTGAGCGAACGCCGGTATGTGTTCGCTCACCTCCCGATCTACTGAGCCGACCTGTGACAGTCTCATTGTCACAGGTCGGCTAGAACTATGAGGTGAGTGAAAATCACTCCCCCTCCCCCTCATAGTTCTCCTTTAAGGGACATTAAAATCCTTTTCTTAATTTGTTTTTATCCGTATAAATGTTAACAGCGCACGCACAGGATTTGGACATTTGTTCCAAATCCAAAATTTCAGATTCGGATGATTTTGGATATGTTATATTTCGGAAATTCGGAACGAAACGAATCGCACGTGTCTAGAAGCCAGTGCAGGGATTGGCGGGGGATGGAAGCCAGTGGAGGGATTGGCAGAGGGGGGTTGCAGACACTGAGCGGTTGGTTAGGTGAATGAGTCTAGCAGCTGCATTCATGATGGACTGAAGGGGGGAGGAGCCTGTGTAGGGGAAGGCCAATGAGGAGGGAGTTGCAATAGTCAAGATGAGAGATGACAAGGGAGTGGATGAGGGGCATTTTTGGAGATGTGACGAAGGTGAAGGCGGCAGGATTTGGATAGTGATTGGATGCAGTGGCGTCACAAGGGGTATGCGGGGGGGTGCAGCCCGCACCCGGGTGACACCACTGGAGGGGTGACACCAAAATGACTCACAGTCATTTTGGTGTCACCCCCCTCTGAAAAGTCGGGCGCTCGGTCATGGACCGAACGCCCAACAGTATCAGGAGAGAGGAGGGGACCCGCCGGGTGACTGTCCCCTCCTCTCTGGTATTCTGGTAACAGAATACTGTCGCGAGTGCGCGATGTCATCGCTCACGCGCGTGGTGATGACGTCACATGGAGTCTCTGAGCGCCCCACAACACCCCCAAGAAGAGTCATTAAAAGGAGAAGATTGCAAATATCAGCAACATTGCTCTGCTGCCAGGAGAAGACGAATCCGCGCTGCGCGCCGCAACAATCAGACGGGCGGACGTCGTATAGATGGAGGCGCCTGAAATTGGAACCACAAATGGGTCCAGAACAATGACACACTGACACTTGGGGGTCCAGAACAATGACACACTGACACTTGGGGGTCCAGAACGCTGACACATTGACACTAAGGGGTCCAGAACGCTGACACTTACAATGTAGAGAAGAGGAGGAGCAGATAAGAATATGGATGGGGAGTGGAGGGAGCGGCATCGCTGTGACCCCGGCACCCGATCTATTGTCCTCCAGGTCTGGGCATTACTCAGACACGGCAGATTTGTTGACTGGCATTTTATATTCATACACGGTACTTGTTCCAGGTTAGGGAGTCTGTAACTAGTGAAGTGAGGATGAGAATGACATCCCCAAAACTTACACCTACAATGAAATATCAGCAGTGGCAGCTCCTGAATGGCTAAATGTTTACTGTTGCCCCTAGTGGCCGGTCAGCTGCACTGCACCTCAGTAAAGCCCTGGAATTCCGCACGGTGTATAAATGAAGCAAAGAGCTAAAAATAAGCAATAAATAGCCGGATCTGTGAATCAGTGACTCCTGGGGGTCTTATTACATACAATGTCACACATGTCACTATCCTGAGTGAACAGACAAGAGGGACACCTCCCCTCCAACATGGAACTACTTATTACGGATCACCAGGGGGGACGCCGGGAATTAGAGGGATAAATCTCTGCGAGGAGGTTTGGAGGGTTATTAGAGAAACAAAGATGAAATTCATTCCTCCTCCTCCCTCCGTCTTGTTACATATGGGAGATATCTAACACTAATAACACAGAGGACTGAACTACGGATGGGGATGAGGGAAGTGATTTCGGCAAAATGACTGAATTTGCCAAAATTTTCCTTTTCTCAAATGTTCGTTCAGCTGCTATGTGAAATCTGCTCCACAAAGATCAATTTCTCTTCATTTATGGGGGGGTCGGCCTTTTGGGGGGTGTTTAGGGCAGTTGAGTTCATTACATTCCGTGTTATTTGTTTACACGACTTTTATTAAAATATCACAAATACAGGAAGATTATAAAAAGATAAATAAAGATCCCGCACGGGGTGTAACATTTATATAATAATGTGGCAAATGTTGAAAAATGTATCTAAACCAGAACCGGATATATATATATATATAATGTGTGTGTGTATTGTGGATCGCTCATTCCCCAGAGAGGAGAATATTTAAAGTGACACTATACTCCGGAGTTAAAGGAGAACTATGGGGTTAAGTCTTTTCCCCATAGTTCTCCTTAGGGTAACGGGAGGACACAAACTAGCGTCCTCCCGTCACCCTAAGCTCAGTATATAGGGAGCTACAGCTTGCGGTATACTGAGGCGCCGCAGCTGAAGCGGATCCCGAGAATTGTGCCGGGATCCGCCCAGCTGCGTGAGTGACAGCTGGCTCTGCCTATCTAGAGGCAGTACCCGCCCCCTCCCCCGTCCGTTCCTCCAGTCAGTGCTGTGGGATTGGAGCACGGGGAGGGCGGGAATGCCAGCTGTAACCGCCCCCTCCCCTGTCCATTCCGTTCCGCCAGTCAGCGCTGGAGGATCGGAGCGGGGAGGGGGAAATCCAGCCCCTCCCCTGTCACAGCAGAGAGCCGTGACAGGATCGAGAAGTGAGCGAACGCCGGTATGTGTTCTCTCACTTCCCGATCAACTGAGCCGACCTGTGACAGTCTCATTGCCACAGGTCGGCTAGAACTATGAGGTGAGTGAAAAGCACTCCCCTCCCCCCTCATAGTTCTCCTTTTTTAAAGTACAATGTCGATGTCGAGATCCAGCTGCGTGAGTGACAGCTGGCTCTGCCTATCTAGAGGCAGAGCCAGCTGTACCCGCCCCCCTCCCCGCCCGTTCTGCCCGCCAGCGCTGGAGGTTCCAATCATCTCTGACACTGTCCTTCCTTCTGGAGGGGGGGCTACGTCTGTTCCCCATGGTCCCTGTGTGTGTTGTAAAGTAGTCACCCCCCGCCCCCCCCATGGACCACAATCTCAGTACAAATCAGTAAACTAAATTTGAGATTGTGAAATAATGAAGCTAACGAGGGGCCAGTTTTGTTGACACAAGAACAGGTCCAGGATAGATGAAAGAGCTTCCATGACCCTAATTGTCGCAGACAGAGGTCAGTATGCACAGAGAGATGGA